TATTTTTCACTGGAGTATGATCACACAGATCAATGAGAGTCTGTCTGTGCTGATTAGCAGCGGGATGCTGACAGCTGCAGGGACACTGTCTCCATAGTGGTACCAGCCTGACGTGGAGTTCATTTATAACAAATCAAGAGAACAAGACGACAACACGACGACTGAAATGACTGGAGGTGAGAGCGTGTGCGTGTGTGTGTGTTTGAAGCATAGAAAAAAAACATCTGGGTCGGTTACATGTTTGTGTAACAAGAGCAACTAAACACGAGGCTGACAGAAAGTATAGTGTGTGCGTGTGTGTACGAGCCAGGTACTCACGCATGGTCTACAGGCCAGAAGTTGATCAGTGTGACAGGACTGCAAGACAAAAAAACACAGGAAGTGGATGGACAACATACAGGTATGATTGGAGCTGAAATATGGAAAGCATCAAGCAGGTGATGCGAGCGAGTAGTGTAAGGCTGTAGTGTGTGAGTGTACGCACAGCACTCTCACACACACTAAACAAACACAGAAACACATCGGACATATTTTGGTTGACCTTCAATAAAACAACACAAATGTCCACAGGAATGAACAGAAATATGGATAATAAAACACCGCTATCATGTGACAGGTCAATCCTTAATATCATGCAGCTGCATTTAGCTTTTGTCCTCACGGGTTTGAAGGCATTTCTGAGGCTCAATTAGGTCATGGTTAGGCTTAGGCTCAGGGTTAGGCATAAGCAGCCAGGGAAAGCATAATGCCAATAAGATGTCCTCACTAAGATATTAAAAGTGTGTCTCTGTGTGTGTTTGAAAGCCTCACGTTTCCATGTTGTCTCCTTCCAGGATGGTCTGCACGGGCAGGTAGCCCATCCGTGGGTGTTTGGCGAAGTAGCGCTTGGTCCTGAATTTGTTCTTCAGCACCTTGGCAAAGTCCCGGACGTCCTCTCCTGATGTCGTCTGAGAGAGAGGTAGGACACAAAGATGACATCGTTACCTCCGTAGGAAGAAGCAGACACACACACGCCGTATCAGAACAGATTACTTCTTCACATACCGGGGTGCAGTACTCGACCATGGGGTACTGCATCTTGTGCCCCTTTGCAACACGGCCAGAGAAAAAGCAGCTTTGACAGATGTCATAGTTGAAATGTTTTAGGCTCCGATATCTGGGAGGAAAGAACAGGAGAGAAAAACAAGTGTAAATGAAAGAGAGCAGAGGAGATGAAGAAGCCAGTGGGGAAAAAAAAAAAGCAAAGGGATCAATACAAGGAGGTAATTTATAGCTCTGCTCTCTCCGAGGTGAGAGAAGTTCAAATTCTTTCAGCCCATGGCCCCAGTGACACATTTATTCTCTGCCTTTAGAAGTCTGTTTAAATTGATCACCGCTCCTGACAAAAGTCAGGGTTAGCCTCCAACAGCATCAGCACCGTGCTTATAGGTCTAAACCTTTGCTATGTAGAATATGTCTCTTATTTCTTACTTACTTTCTATATCCCAAAATTAGTTACTTTACATGCACACAAGGCTAAATAAAACCTGTAGGGACACTATTTGAGATGACATTGGACCTTACAGCCATTTTTAGCTGTGAAACCTTGTTCCCAGACCTCCCACTTGGACTTTTGTCGAATGAAAAGTAACACGTGGGCAGTATAGTGGGGGGGGGGGATATTTTCTCCTTGAGATATTTCCTCTCAAAGCAAGAAAGAAGCAGCACTGACAGACTAGTTTCAGCTTCAACGCTTGTTTTAAGATATTTGTCACTTATGTAAAGTCTAGATATTATTTTTTATTTCAAGAAATCTTACCAAGTGTAACTTTCTGCACTTGATTGTAATCTATACTCCATAGTTATTTTCTCAAATAAGTACTTCTTCAAACTGGTCTCTTTAGCTTCCAGACATTTAGGAGCGGATGATGCTGTCCCAACTCGGAGACACGGAGCTCTTAAAGATTTCTCAGTTTGGACATTTTATATGTTTTCTATTTACTGTTTTGATCTGAAACTAATTTTATTCTATTTATATTTACTTTGTACAGGACAGCCCCAGATTTATAGAATTGTGTTTGGATGAATGCAACTTGTAAGGTTTTGGGTCTTAAATGAAACCATTTGAATATTTTTAGTATTTCAGATTTGCTGATGTGAGCGGGTTCTGGACCTGAGACTAAGAATGCCAAGACTCACAGTCATGGCATTCTTAGTCTATACACACACACACGAGTCTTTAATACTATGAGAATTCTTTGTATTGTAAAACAGATTGCAATACTGCAGCAACTGTTAAAATGCACCGACCTGAAGCCGATGATTGGACATTCCTTGCAGATGTTGCACTTGGCCTGGTGTTTGGCGGTCTCTGCAGCAGCGACACGATGAAGGACAGGTAGCCACACCATGGACTGAGGCTCCAGGCGCATCCAGTCCAGGAACATGGTGGCCTCAAGCTCAGGCTTGTTGTTGGCCTGAAATAACAACATGACAGGTTACGGCGTTACAGTTTTTTCTCAGAAATCTGGAAAAGAAGAAAAGAAAAGTGGCTCTAATCCTCTTCCGTAAGCGTCCACAAGTTTCAAGATTTCCTTTTCAAATTTTGTGTGATCCCATAACAGCTCGAGCTGATTACATTTTTATCCAACGTCAAAGGCAAGGTCACAACAAATGTAAAGGAAGAAAAGAAAATTGGAAACGACAGCAACTCAGCCATGATATGGTCGGGGAGGGTCAGCTGACGTTGAGGCGCGTTAGTGTGCAGAGGTCGCCAACTTTCTGCAGTCAACAGCTAAAAACCTCAAAATTACATGTGACCTTCAGATTAGCTCATAACAGTACATAGAGAGCTTGGAATGGGTTGTAATCCTGAGCTACACCCACACATTTGCGATGGCTGTAGAGCAGGACGAGCAGCCATCTGCTAATCAGGTTGGTGATTCGATCCCTGGCTTCACCAGTCTGAATGCCAAATATCCCCGGACAAGATACTACCCCAAGTTGCTCTCCCATGCATCCATTGTAGTGTGAATGTGTGTGAATGTTACTGTGGTATTAAGTGGTATTGAGCACTTAAAGCATAGTAAAAAGCGCTGTGTGAATGCGTGAATGAGGCAAGCCTCACGAAACGTACAAACTGAAAGCAGCTGCGGACGGAGGGCTCAATGTTGGAGCCGCCGAAGGAGGCGACCTCGCCAAGTTGTCGGGGGATCTGAATGGAGTCGTGCAGAAGGAGCCCCAGTCGACGCTGGTCACAGAATCCCGTTGCACTGGCAACCTGCCGGAACAGGACTAGAGAGGACGAGGCAGAGAAAATACGAGAGGTCGGAAAAAGGAGAGAACGTCCACACAAGGATTTTCCTTTTGTATGATTTTATTTGTGAGATGAAATATAAGCAAGTACTTATTATTAGCACACAACAATGGCAGAAAAACATTGCACATTGACTTACATCTGTATTTATCCTCCAAATGAGCCTTGCAGAGTGAGATGATGCCAGTTTTGAATGACAGAGATCTGATCTTTCCGGTGCGACCGCTGCCAACCAACAAAAAGAGACGGTTTAGAGCACGCTGGATCTGAATCATCCGAGAAACACTACGTGTTTAAGCGCTCGCTCAGGGTGCTGCACGTACGTGTCGTAGACGTTAAGCAGCCAGTTGAGGCACATGTCAACGCAGAGCGGGACACTGACCAAGTGGGAGTGGTTCTGCTCAAGTCGCTGGTAGAGGCTCGTGAGACAGGCGACCAGCTGAGAGATGTCCAGCAGCTGCTCGTTCTGCTTCAAACCGTGCTGGTCAAATATCTCACAAGCTGCCGGCATGCTCAACAGGTCCACTAAACACAAGACACACAGGCAGGGGCACGGTTAGACAGTACACACACATCTATGGGCGCCTTCCAGCCTGAGTCAGCTCAGACCTCCATGTCCAACGTTTCCTGGAGACTGCTGCCTGTCTCGAGCAACGGTAAGGTGTCCCATTAGCATCTTTATCGAGTGTGTTTCTATCTGTGGTTTTACTGCATTAGCAGTGTGTTTGGGATGATGCTGATCACGCTGAGATGTGTCAGAATTTAGGCCAGTTGTTGCTTTCAAATCACCTTGTTGGTGCAAAAACACTATTTTGTGTATTTCAAACATTGTTATCGTTGGTACTTTTTGTCACTTCAACTAAAGAATTGAAACAAATTGTGTTTTTGAGCAACTGACATTTTAAGCCAACAGCTCTTTGGGAATCACCCTGTTGGTGATTATACCAGTCAAACTGTTAACTTTGGCATGTTTGACAGAATTAACCAGTTGCTGCTGATGCTAGTAAGAAAGTACCTAAAATAGTCAAGATAGATCACTGTTATTTGTCTCAACAAGTCTGTTATGTGTGAACAATCTTCGTTGACCCTTGGGTTAGGTTTGAAAAATTAATCTGTGTGTCTTCAACCTGGCTCAGCAAACAACACCAAAGCAAATACAGGTGAAAAGTGCAGATGGACTAATAAAGGGGGAGAAGATACACATGCCAATTTAGAAAGAAAACTTTGTAAGATCCCAGAAAGCCTGAAAAATTACATCTCAAACCCACTTTAAAAAAATACAAGAAGGTTTGGCTCCTTGGAAGCAAAAGATAAAGAAATGAGGAAAGAAGAAAGAAATGAGGAGTGGCTCAAACCTGCTACACAGCGCTGCACTTGGTGTGGACTGCATACAAACCAGCTAGCAGCAAGGCACGAGCTATGTGTCTGTTTACTGTTTAATAAGAGTTCACAGTGAGCCACGCTGTTTATCACAACAAGGTTAAGAAAAATAAACTGGGCCAATATGGCATGTTTGTTAATACAGAGACACACATGTTAATGTGATCCTGGTCTCCCACTCAGAGACACAGGGTCTCCCACTCAGAGACACAGGTCTCCCACTCAGAGACACAGGTCTCCCACTCAGAGACACAGGTCTCCCACTCAGAGACACAGGTCTCCCACTCAGAGACTCAGGTCTCCCAGTGTCCAGCATTCAGAGGCTGCCTGAGGACTCATGTGAGAGAAAACCTGCTCACACAGACATGTAGAGCCAAACACTGTCAATAAGGCCTCTGAATGTTCTGAAGACAGTTAAACTCGTCAGGTAGTGACGTCCAGCAGGTGCAGCTCCATGAACACGCACAGCTGTGGATTCCAGCTGCTTCGTAGTTCTGCAAACTTTGACAGAGTCGAGCTTTTCAGTTCAATCAGCTGCATTTCGATGTCCTCTGTGTCCAGCCAGTTAAAGAGAGACAAATCCAGCTGCTCATTAAAGCTTCTGTTTTGATCTGTCTCGAGTCTACGGATGTATCCGTGTATCTCCGTGGTGCTGATGCTGCGCTGAGCGGAAAGCTGCTGAAGCTTTTGAAGAGTCGGAATGTGGAAATTTCAACATCGCTTGAAAAAACTGTGAGCTAGCAACGTCCCTCTCACCAGTAGGCTAAGTTTTAGCCAATTACAAGTTGAATGTGGCAGTTGGGGTTGTTGGCTAAGAGACCGTCATTAAGAAGCGGCACAACTAATGTGTCTACGCGAGCTAATTTGAGATGTGCACCAGTGGTGGCCCGGCCATTTTTTTAAAAAAAATCCACTTTCTGCGTGTCGTGACATCAGTTAACCCTTCGCATGCTGCGGCACGAGTGCCCGGGGTTGCGACCCCTGCGTTATGCTATTATAAACGTAGTAAAAGCTTTAAAAACATGTGTCACACTGACCATGAGAATGCGAGTGAGAAAGGAAACCATTCATTGTATCATTGTGGTCACTGGACTGCTTCAGTAATGTTAGTTCACTTGACTGCAATTTGCAACTATAGCCAGAAATGGCTCCAATCTTCTGTAGCTGTCGCCATGCTCTGTTAGCACATGGTGTTGACACATGATTACGCGCTGTGGGTCAGCTCACTGTCACAAACATGCAATCTGGATCCCATCAATATTTATTGACATGAATACTCGTGGGTTGAAATGTACAACTGTGCTTAGGCTCTAAAGTTCGGTGAATGTATCTCGCCTTGCCAGAGGTGACAACAATACCAGCTACACTAATTCAGCTGTTTCAATCCAGGGGGTGGATGTGGACATTGTGGAGGACTGTAAATACCTTGGAGTACACTTGGACAATAAACTGGACTGGGTTAAAAACACCACAGCACTTTACAGGAAGTGTCCAAGATAAAGACAACGTTGGGTAACACCTCCCACCCACTCCATGACGTGCTGGCTAGCCACAGGAGCACATTCAGTGAGAGACTGAGACTACCCATGATGCACCACTGACCGACACAGGAAGTCATTCCTGCCTGTGGCTTCCTGTACAACTGCTCCACCTAACACACTGTGAACACTGCAATAGCTACACCCTCTTGCACTCTCTCTTTTCTACTCAGTCATGTTGCTGTCAATATTCTTGATATTTATAATCACCTCTGTTAATCCTTGATGTTTATTATTGAGCGATTTGTATATATTGTGCTATTTCTTAAATTTGTAAATCTGTAACATATTGTATTGTTAAATAGTCTGTTACTGTTACTGCACTGGAGTAACTGTAACCCACATAATTCCCTGAGGGATTAATAAAGTATTCTGATTCTGATACACTTAAATTACAAACAGCTTGCATTCTGTAGAATAAACACTCACATGGACACACAGGCCGAGTCAGAGAGTAAAAGAGCAATAGTGCAGAGAAGGTCAAGACAAAATTCAGAGAGAGCAGAAAGAGAAGGAGGTGTGGGAGGGTATCAACACAATAACAGACACACTTAAACCCAGAGGCAAAGTCCCTGTGTGACACAGATGCAGGAGAAGTGTACAGACAGAAAGTGTACTTACAGCAGAGAGCCTTCTGCAAGCGTCTGAGCTTCATGGCTGTGCGGTAGGCTGAGAACCGAACATTGTTCAGATCGGCTAGAGAAAGGAATACGAGGAAGAGAGCATTAGTTTTATCAGTGTTTTCACTTCAGCCAGTAGTGCTTCTTCAGTTCAGTTCTATGTCTATAACAGCCACCTCGAAGGTGCTTAGTACGGCAGAAATCCTACAGTAACACAGAGAATCAGACGACCCCCAATGACCAAGCATCTTTTTCCCATCTTCTCCAGTATGTGGATCATGTGGCACCTGTTTCAAAGACTTTAGTCAAAAAGAGCAAAAACGTCCATAAGCAGGAAGTTTCTCACCCAAAGACTGGTAGAGCTCAGCCATCTTGGGATGGTCCCAGCATGTTGTCTGGGTCTGATGGCTAGAAGGGGACAGAGAGGCAACACATGAGTCAAATGCACATCAGCCATCACAAAGAAGCGTTGGTTGGGCTGACGTACCAGCCTATATTCAGAGGCTACATGTAAAGAGCAGTGATTTCAAGGTGTATGCAGTAAGTAACAATTACACCCACAAGCTTTTTTAATCCAAGTATGGAGACACGCAGTCTTGAACACAAAAAATGATGATGGCGCTCGTTTGGTTTTGATGTCGTGTTGTCAAAGCCACTGTGACAGAACAGGTTCACAGACAACACTGTCCCACATAATGTTGTTATTTCACTGTAAAAGCCTTTTCATTGGAAACGTAAGGAGTGTGCTTTTTTAAGCCTGCACGGTCGCCCAACCAAAGCACGTTTTCCAGGTAAAACTCATCTTCTGCTTCTTCATGTGCACCAAGCAGATGACGAAGCCTAAATAAATCTGACTGAGCCCAGTAATAAAGACATATAGCAGTGTGTATATAGTTAAATAGTGCTGTGAGTGGTACATTTAAATGCAAGAAGATGGGAAATCCTTTGAGAGGAACAAAAAATAAACCTCAGTAAATGAGTTGGATTCATTTGAACAAAATTAAAAACATGAATTTATACTCCTCTCGCTATCATAATATTCAAAAAGAACAAAACGCAGCATCTTCATCTCCGCTGTGTCAGGAAAGGACGACACAGCCAGAACGAGCTAAATGGTTGCTGTGTCATTCGCCCCTCGTGACTGCCACTTCAAAGAGGCTCTGCTCTGTGTGTGTTTGTGCGCTGAAGATAAACAGACTGACGCACATTTGTGTGACTTCAGAAAACAATGAGTGATGTGTGTGGTGTGTAGAACTACAATATGATATCTAAAGGATTTGCATGTCCATCACTGTATCTGCCTTCTGATGGGTATAATAATGAACTAATTCAACGTTTATCTGAAACTTTCATACTTGGTGAAATGAAAAACTGGCCATGCAACCTTTTCAGTGTCACAGAGCTCAATGTGATCGCCAGACACAAAGAAACGGGCCGACAAAATTCAGATAAAGACAAAAGAAATGGAAGCTACCAACGACACCTGGTCAGAAATGAGCAGCTGGGCTGAGCAGGAACATAAATGGTACTAAAGATGATTCGGTTTGTCCAAGTCAGGTCCTTCTCATGCAAGTTTACATGGTGCTAAATTCTGCAGGAATATTAGGAATGTGTGATCTTATCCCAAAGTTAACACAAAGCTTCCATCTCTCCATCCATGCTCATGATTACATTCATTTAACTCATTAGTTTTCATTTTTTAATGACACTGTGATCCGTTTTTAAACTGATCCTTTCAGTTTTAAATACTTTTAACGATAACCAGTAAACAGTCACTGACTGTCATGGTCCGTGGCTCTGTGTCTGAGGAGTGTGTGGGATGCCCGGTGGCCACACCCCCGGGATGGGCCATCACGCCTGCATCCCATTCCAGGCGCCAGGAGGACTATTTAACCCTGCGCTGACGGCTGCTCCACGCCAGTCTGTTAGTCACCCTCAGTGGTTACTAGGCTCCCTGCAAAGCTTTGTATATATCCAAGTGTTACATGAACTGTGTTAACTCTGCCTCCGTGTGCCCAGGTTACTACGTTTTGTGTCTGCCATCTGCCCGTCCTCCTGCCTGCTCGGATCTCTAAGTGCACCATCCGCCCTCGTCCCTGCCTCCTCTGATTCGCTTTCCACGGACACGCTTCCCCCATCTCGAGCCCCACGGTCCGGCTCTGATCGTAAGAATTGCTACAGCCCTGTTTAGTAACGTCCCTCATTCTCCCTGCTCAGTAGTAATCTTCTCCTCTTTCTCTTGCAGCCTCCTACGGTCCTGATTACAGCTTCTCTGTGTAATTTGTCTTCCCGGTTTCCTTCAGTTCTGCCATTTTGCTTCCTTGGTTGTTCCGGGTCAGCTTTTGTTAAAACAATAAAATGTGTACTTGCTCGCATTGAGTCTGTTTTTGGATCCCGCTTGTGTGCACGAACTGCGGTTCATGACAGCGTCGATCCCCAGCTCCTCCAACCCCCCCCACAGTCCTTGCACGCTTGTGCACCTTGTAGAAAACAGTTTTGTTTGATAAAGAAAGAAAACAGAGGAGCTGAAAAACTAGGCGAGAACAAGAAGAGGAAAACTACAAATTGTCCCACCAATATGTGTTAAATTAACTAAGACGTTAGCTGTTAGCACCGTCAACAGTAGTACCAGCAACAAGTAGTAACAGGTCGCTGGACACTAGTCATCAGTTAAGCTGCTGCTGTGGAGAAATGCAGGGGGAGGGACAGCAGCCCCAACCACTCAGCGAGAAAGACAGAGGGTGTAATTAACGTGGTAAGAACATCGATGGAGGGAAAGATTTCATTCAGTAAAATAATTGGCTACAAAATTGTTCATCAAATAAACTGAAAAATGTACATTCATGTTGTATTTGTATGCATAAACTATTATTATATAACTTAATTTGTTTCATTTATACATTTCTTTTCTTTTGCACTTTACCATTGCTTTGAGAAATTGCACAAATTTATTGACTGGGCCATCTGGGCTCTTCAGACCGATCATGATGGGCCAGGACTGGGAACCGATCCATTTACCAGCTAAAAGACCAACTGTGATTCAGCTCCACGTGTTCTTAGCAGAATCAATACGATATGTACAAATAAGCGACTTGTGGCTGTCACACAAGAAATAACATTTGATATAATATCTCGGGACAATTTATATTTCACATGCTAACATGACAGGCAGCTAGGTTACGTAGCACTATGTGGCAACAAGTGCAAGAACGTGTGTGAGTTCTTGGGGATCCCTGTCAGAAACCTACCTGTAACTAAATCACAGCTATCGAGGGTTGGAGGTCTTATTTGATGACATGATATTCTTCTACTGAAGTCCAAACAGCAGACTTAAGTAGAGAAGCCTGCAGTACCTGAGAGCGTGCATCACGCCATCATTGCCATTTTCCTCACAGGTTTGCACAGCATGACTTCTATAGCCAAACTGTCAACACATCTTCCTGTCACAATCTGAGGGACGACATTCAACGTGATCTGAGATGTGGTGCAATGTCTGTACATCTTTTCTAGAATTTCATTAACAGTCTGTCCAGCAAACCTCACGTGCATCTGACAAAACCACCTGTTATTAGGTTCACAGAGCAAACAAACTTTCACAATGGCATTTCTTCACTCCTACAACATTCCAGCCAGAACACTGGGTTCATAGTTCACAATGCCTCAGAACACTAGGAGGTGCTCGCGGCAGGACAGGGAGCAGAAACAAAGCTGCAGTGTGTAGGAAAGGCTAAGGAAAAGACCGCACAAAACTCCGTCATTAGCCTTTTCCTCACAATTGCCAGGTTTGTTGTGAACAAAACGGATGAGCTGAGGCTACAGTTGGACGACAATAGACTCATTGAGGACTGTTGCGCTTTGATAATCTTTATCCTGCATTACCTGATGCAGTTGAGAAGCTAACGAGTCATATCCTACACCGCTTAAACTGAAACCAGAACTCACGAAAACAATGACGTGGAGATATTTGCATTTATATTCATGAAAAATCAGCCAATAATACTTAGACTGCAGACAGTCGCTGCCCTCCACACTTAGAATATTTGACAGTTAAATGCAGACCCCCTTGTCCTCCACTGTGGGATCACAGCAGTGATCAGGATAGCTGAGTATTTGACAAATACTAAAGCTAACTTGGTCCTTAGCCTCCTACATGTTGCCATTAGTAGCTGAATATACCCAGAAGCAGCACACATAATAGCTGGGAACATCAGTCTTTTAGTGCGCCCCAAATTCCATCAGCATTTTAACTGTTACACACGGGAAAAACACACTGGATAAAGTCTATTCCAAAGATTAAGCATATACAGGGCCATACAAACAGCTCACCTGGGCCAGTTGGACCAAAGTAAAGAAAACCGCTGCCCTCTACTTCAAAAACTGTTAAAACATTGCCTGATGGTTCCTCCTCTCAGCTGAAAAACTGTTTTGAGAATACAGACTGGAGTATCGATGAATCTCAGGACCTGGATGAGGACACTGCATCCGTACTCTTCTACATCAAGCATGTCACAACCTTGTGCAGCGGCACAGCACACAGTGAAGAGACACAACGGTCCTCCAAGATCATGGTGCTACATATGACATATAACAGACAATCAACACAAATTGCACAAAAAACCCCAAAACAAAGACAGTGCAAGAGCATGATACAGACACAAGACCATGCAGACGCAACAGAAATGTGCAAAAGACTGAGTACTGTGCAAAAAAAGTCATTTGGTGTATGAAGGCGTGCGTGTATGTGTCAGTCCAAGCACTAACTGTGTATGCCCACCAAATATCCTGAATGACAAAAACGGTCAGGACCTTGCTGAGAAACAAAAACACTGCTTTCAGGCCTGCTGAGGTGTGCAGTACAGTCCAGGCAAACCCGGAAATGGGAATGAGACAGGGCAAGCTGGATTATACAAATACAATTGAGGACAACCTCTGCAGCAATAACTTGAGGATGGTGCGGCCAAAATATCACTAAAAACCCAGACCTTAGGGCTGCTCGATTATGGCAAAAATGATAATCACGATTATTTTCACTGAAATTAAGATCTCGATTATTTGACAATATTTATTTAACCCTTTAAGACCTACTATAGAACCAAGTCCGCCAGAGCTTATATTATTTTTTTACATGTTGTAGTGCCATTTATGGGAGCATTTCAAGTTGCTATACAACTGTTATAGCCCATATTTTAATAATATGTATGCATTAAGTCCATAGTAACTACATTAATTGCAAAAAAGTGCAATAAACTACAAAAAAAATTGAAAATCGTTTTTGGTTTTTTTACATATATTTCTACTTGGAGAAATTTAAGAGGTTTATCCCTCAAAACTTTAAATACAATAAAGTTGCAAAAAATAGTTTACAACAACAGGACATTTATTTTGAGTGTCTTCATAGTTTTATTTTG